AGAAGACAGTTCTATTTTATGGCTGTCAGCAATATTGCAGGACTCTACTAGTGCCCATAAAGATATTGCTCAAAGCCAGCATGAGTTGTTTATTTTCAACATACAAGAAATAGCCTGACAAGTAATAGAAAAAGAATTCAAACCTGAAATGCCAGTTTAATCACGCATTTTGAGATCCTGATTTTACATTGGGTTTTTTTTGTAGCAAGTGGAAGCACCTGGTAAATGACATTGCTTATATACCACAGAATAGCTCTCCCCACAGTAAGTCTGACCAGACTATGATAAATAAATCTTGCCAGATAACTTCACATGTCTGTAATGAAATTAATGTAGTAGTGATAAAGTCAAGGACATTTGCTATCACTAAACCACTTCCAATCTAGAAAAGGATTTCGTATTTTGAGGGCTGGCTGAAGCAAAAAAAACCCTTTCTGCTAAACCACCACCAAGACAACACACACAATTCCCCATGCAAAATTTACTTCCTTCTTTATTCACAGTCTCCAAGATACACATTTTATATTTCTTGGCCTTCTAAGCTTTTTTGCACTACATTTACAGTAATTACTTTTCTGATAGCAAATATCTGGGTAGAATAAAAGCATCTGCATTTGACAGCTACATTGCTCCAAAACACCAACCCACCTGCTTCTTTTTGAGTCTTTATGTGTAGAATAGCAGTGCTTTTCTGTTATTTCTCTTTAAAACTAGTTTTGAGACTCTGAAAGCAACAGAATAATGACTTATAGTTTAGGAAGAGAAGGAATATTAGCAGCATTTAAGAGAGTTATGACTCCTGTGCCACATACAGAACTGCTACAGGTACAAAGATGTGATCATTTAAAAAAAACATTCACCATCACATTGGGCAGCAATTAGAAGTTGTTGTATCTTATGCCAGAGGAATGTATGGTTCTAACTTAACAGGGAGCTGTCCAGGAGACAAAAAACTAGCTAGCAATCAACAGCATAGGTTTTCATAAGCAGTCTGTGAGCAATTATAAAGCAATAGAGTATCCATAAAATTGATATTCTATTTCCAACCTCAGGCTAGGTACAGACCTTAATTTTTTTCCAATGCTGAGAGCTAACCAATTAGAACTAAAAGATGACCAGAGACCAAAACAGTCTCTGGAATAGTGGATGAGTCAGGACAAAGTCAATTTTACACAAGCAAAACAGCAAAGAAGAAGTATTACCAGCTGAAGATAAAGGACCATGTCAGACGGGCTCTGTGGTGGGTTCTGCAGGCTGCCAGACCTATGGGACTTCTGCATAGAACACTGTGAGGTGTGAATACAGACTTTGAAAAGGGAAATGCTTTCTTTCTAAATACATAATGCATTATTTTAAGAAGATCACGTGGAGAGCAAGAGGAGGAGTGCTCAGTAATATTATTTCTTCCAGGTAAAAGATCTATCCCTGAGACAAGCCTGGGGAAGTAATCACAGCCAGTCCCAGGTACAACACTGCCCAAAAGGCTGACCTTTGGGTTGGAAAAAAATTGAAGGTATCCATCTTAAGAAAGGCTTATGATCAGTACCATTGACCTAGAGGGGAGATACCTGATGCTATCAGGAGTCTTCTCTCCCAAATGTGCTGCAGATAGTGCTTTGAAATATATACCAAAACCAACTGTTGCTACTGCATTCGTTAAGTTCTTTTAAAAGCATACCAACATTGACAAGATGTAAAACCACTAAGTTTTATCCCGGGCAGTCTGACTCCATAGGAGTCAGCGATTTTTCAGGTGATACCTCCCATGTAAAGGTCACTATTATTTCTATCTTTTCTAGTTATGGCAAGGCAGTGTATTTCTTCTGGTGCACTCCATCTTGCAATATGCCCAACATAGATAGCTCTCATTCTTCCTCTATCCAGTCTTAAGTCTGTCGTTGCTTGACAGTGCATCAAGTGCTCAAATTCAGTCATTCGCTGACTGTAGCATAATGCATTCATTACTATATGCTGCCTTTCAAGCAGAAGTGATCTTCCCAAGTTCATTTTTCTAAACAATTTGTGCTTTTGGATATCTAGCTGTTCAACATTCTTCTCCAACAGCTCGATCCGAAATAGTCCCGTTCATCTCTCTCTGTATTCAGTGTCTAGCTTTCGTATCCCTCCTCCCTATGCACCATACCAACCACTGAAATGCGAAGTAAATGTTTAAGTTTAAACACTCCAACAAGGGGCACTTGAGACACATTTGGGTCAGTATTATAGGGTTAATGTCAAAGGATGTTGTGTGTTAGCTGAGCAGTGCAGTATATTTTTTCCAACTGCTTCAGCCACTAACCAACTACATGACATCCTGAACGATTACTTCTTTAAAATATATAATGAAAGAATTTAATATGAAAATAAAAAAGCAGGAACAAACTCATCTTAATTACATACAGTCAGAGACCAACTAAACAGTACGAGATGTCTGTACCTTGGGCCAGCTAAGACCTTAATTTTTTATGTATTATACTTTCTTTTGTTTAGGATATACATCCAACTGTAATACTTAAGAGTTTTTGCCATGTACAGAGCCCTAAGGTCCCTTAATGCAGCATTCATCTTCTTTTTTTGATACATGCCATCAAACTACGCTTCCAATAAGAGTTGTCGTTAGGAGGGGAGTCCCCAGGCACCACATTACACAGCTGCCTGGTTCATATCAATGTGAATTGGGTAAAATAATCAACAACTTTTAAATACAGCTTTAAAATCATGCAGTTGAACTTGCCTATACTATTTACACAAAGTATCCTGTAGTCATTCCACGCAGTAGTAAAATTTACTACAATTTTTCTATAAGGCAATAACAACTGGAGATACACAAAAGCGTCAGGTCTTTCTCCCTTCAAAGAAGCTTTACAAAGCAGTAAAGCCCTCCTAGCATAAACTATACTTTAGACCTCTAGAAAGTCTGGAATAGTTTCAGATTTGGTACAAACTATAGATGTATTCTGTTACTCTTCTTGTTTTCCCCCCTCATTGGATTCCTGTTCTTTTTCTTCAGAAATCCTTTTTTAAAAAAAAAAAGTATATTTTTTTCTGTCTTGCAACTCTTGATACTTTTTCACCATTCCCTCACTCATGAGTTATTTGCTATCTGGTTTAGAGAAAGACCCACACTGAGACAGGCTACTGATAGCAGCAGACGCAAGAAGCCAGCCCCTACTCCTGCATCCCTTTGTACCTGTTAATGAGTCTCACTGCCAACTGTGTTACGTACCACAGTGCACGCAGGGAGCAAAGAGGGGTTATTCCAAAAGCACACGCTCTAGCAAGTCTGTGTCTAGGAGTAAGCACGAACCTGTAGCTTTCACTACCAATATTAATCGTTTCTATCAGAAACGATCTATTCTGCTACTCCTTACCAGGTCTTTCTGCACATGAAGATTGGTGCTGACAGAAGAATAGGAGATAATATTCTTTTCTGCTTTGGGGAAATCAGATTACCAGACAGCACAAAGGAACCTACCCAGCAGCCCTCCAAGCTACTTTGCACACCACGTTTTCTTTGTTTTGTCCTCCCCTGAAACATAAATTCTCTGCAAGTGCTGGAGGAAAGATCCAGGACTTGATGGGCCAGTTGGTTGATCTGAGATGGCAAATGCTCTGTTCCTCACATAAACAACGAGTTTCTTTTTCTTCTTCCTCTTCCACCTCTGTCTTCTCCATCTTCGAGTGTTTGCAGTCCTCAATGACTATCTGACCTTTGACTGTAAAACATGATTTTTTTTACTATGCTTATTATTTTCAAACCACAGAACACAATGTAGCAGCCACTGGAGTATCTCCTGTCTCAATCATCCCATGTTCACACTCTGAAGAGATGTTGGCATCATTTTAAGAGCTTTTCCATTACTAATTTTCACTTCGTTCTCAAAGATGTGCACTGATGGTCTTAGCTCCTTACATACACAAAGTAACTAACCTCAAAAACACAGACAGCAGAGCTATTTTGAATGGCAACATGCAACTTACAATGAAAAGCATTATATGCTGATATAGCATCATAGTTATAAAAGATCCTGAAGCATTCAAGCTCACATTTGGATAGCCTCAATCTCACTTGTGACCTCCCTTTGCTTTGGTTTAGACAATGTCCCACTCAGCTGCTGGACTACACCTGTGGAGGCTGCTCCCTCTCTCCAGTGAGAAAGCGGGCTGCCTAAAGACAATGCTGCATGGGTTTAAACCTTCAGTTAAATACAGGCAGTTCTGAATGGAAGTTGGTCTTCCAGCAATGCAATAGGATTTTCTGCACTTTGGCTGAGAAACTCAGCTAGTTTACAATCACCAGAAAGTGTTACAGTAGCTTTAATTTTTGCACAGAACAGACAAATTCATTGTTTTGAAAGGTCATGACAGTAAATCGCAAGGAATTCAATTTATCACCCTTGGATGGATGGAGGACTGAGTCAAACATAGAACAGTGGAAACCTCTGGCTCCAAGAAGTCTGTGCTGGTTCAAACCTGCTCTTAGGCAGCCAAATCATCCTTTCAGCTATACTTTATTACAACTGATTTTTTTCCCCAGCTGTGCTATTGCAGCAAATTGTGTCATACATAAGCATCAAAAGTGTGGTGAATACATGAAGAATTTGTTTGTCTTTAACCAGGAAGTTTACCAAATATAAAATTATTTGTGATACAGGCAGACATCATCATAGCTGTCTCACACATTTCTCCACATGTTAAGTGACTTATGAAAAAAGTACAAGAAGATATATGGGAGAAAACACCATCAGCACAATACAGAAAGACAAATCTGGAAAAGCAAACAAGCACAAGGATTAGTTTTAAAAACAGAAAGACCATGAAGATGGAAAATCAAAAGAGTACCCTGAGCCTCACATGTTTTGGCTTCACAGTACACCCAGGAGGAGAGTGACGCACCAGTAGCACACCTGATTTAACAGGCTCCTTGTGTATGACTGAGAACAGAGGTAGTGAGCAGATCATTCCTGACTGGATGTATCACATCATGCAATAACTCTTACCTAAAGCTTTCTGGGTATTCAGCAACAGCCATGTTGATAACATCCAGTGCATGCTGATAGTGCTTCTGAGCTGAAAAAAGGAGGGCCAGTAGATGAAGTGAATTCAAGTCATCTTTGCACAGCTGCAGTGCTTCTTGAAGATGTTCTATAGCATCAGAAATCTGGAACGACATGGGGTAGAAATAAAAAGAGAACACATTTCTCCTTCAGTCCTACATTATATCCCAAAGGTAAGAACAAATACAGTCATTAGAAATTCTGAAACAATTCTACTTAGGCACCTATGAGAAAGACTTTTACTATCTGAAAAGTTTGCCAAAATTAACAGACTGCACTGCTTGAAAAAAACAACCACATTCTAGAGAAAGGAGTCTGCGGCATTACAAAATCACTGCTTATAAACAGGAGCAACTGACCTGATCCAATCAACCCACTCTTAACTTTGGCATGGTGCTTCTATGCTGTAAACAAATTCACTAGAGGCCCAATTCTCAAGTCCATCTTCTAGGATAAGTGGCTGGCTCTTCACCTGGGGGAGAGCATTACACATCTCTGCTGCACTTTGCCTCTTGTGATGGCTGTGCAAGGCCTTTCATGATTTAGATCAAGAACATAAAAATTAAGTTTGAATGCTCAAGAGTAAAACAGTCAAGATTCAAAATGCTGTCAGAAAAGGAAGTATCTTTGCAAGCAGCAATGTAAAGAGCAGTCCTGACACTCACAGCAGTAGCATGTCATTAGAATTAAGTCTCACTTGGCAGAAAACTTAACACCTATAAATGAATGCAAGTGTATCACATGCTCTTTTTGATCCAATACCCTATTTTAGGCTCTCTGTTCAAAAGGGAACTTTTTAGTAGATTTTCTTTCCTTTGGCTTCCAGTTAAGTTTTATATGGAGGATTTTCTTTAAGATTTTCTAGTGTCTGAAATTACTGTTACTTAAATTATTTCAGATTAGTGTTTGGTTCTGGAAGCCTGCAGAAAACAAAACAGAGAAACGTATAAATTTCTTTTCCTCATATATACCTTCCCTCTCCTTCCCTTAAGGGATGGAGAACACAGTTCCTTCTTTCCTACTATGAGAACTTCCCACCTAGCAAAGCTCTGCAAACATTCTCCTGCCTTGGCATACCACCAGTGTCAAATTCCCAGCACCTCCACAGATCACTCAGCAAAACAGGTAGTGTATTACTAAGGAAAGCAATAATTACACTGCCTGCAGTTACAACAGAGGTTGCTGATGGTCTAGATCCCAGGTATACTTCTGGGACCGTGGTACATATTCTGTTCATGGGACAACTTCACCCTAATGTCCAAATGACACTTCACTCTCACTGTGCATACGTAAGCCAAAGGACTTAACTACTCTATTACTGGTGACTCCATGCAAGTCTGGAGATCAGTGCCACTGCTCCACAGACACAACACCAAATTGGCATCTGGCCCACAGCTTCAAAATTGCTGAATGTCCTGGCTTCAATTCAGGTTGGGATATATGACTGAGTGCTCAGCTTTAATGAATTACTGCTTGTCAGTGGAGCTACTTTAACCACATGTGTTGTTATAGCCTACTGCAAAGGCAAACACATTGGCTTAAATCACCAATGTTCCTTCAGCACCTTACTAGGACACATTTTCTTACGATGTAAAAACACTAGCAATGACAAGACAACTTCAAACCAGGACAACAGGCATGAGTCTGTGGTGGGCCCAGATCTGCCTGTCCACAAAGTTCTTCAGTAGGTATACCAGAGGTATATAAATTTGACTTGCTAAAACAAAGGGCTCAGTATTGGGGTGAGTTCTGTTTAATATCTTTACCAATGATCTGGATGAGGGGATCAAGTGCACCCTCAGCAAGTTCGCAGATGACACCAAGTTGGGAGGCAGCGTCGATCCACTTGAGGGTAGGAAGGCTCTACAGAGAGATCTGGACAGGCTGGAGGTTCAACAAGGCCAAATGCCGGGTCCTGCGCTTCGGTCACAACAACCCCATGCAGCATTACAGGTTTGGGGAAGAGTGGCTGGAAAGCTGCCTGGCAGAAAAAGACCTGGGGATGCTGGTTGACAGCCGGCTGAATATGAGCCAGCAGTGTGCCCGGGTGGCCAAGAAGGCCAACGGCATCCTGGCCTGCATCAGAAATAGTGTGGCCAGCAGGAGCAGGGAGGTGGTTGTTCCCCTGTACTCGGCACTGGTGAGGCCGCACCTCAAGTACTGTGTTCAGTTTTGGGCCCCTCACTACAGGAAAGACACTGAGGTGCTGGAGCGTGTCCAGAGAAGGGCAACCAAGTTGGTGAGGGGCCTGGAGCACAAGTCTTATGAGGAGCAGCTGAGGGAGCTGGGGCTGTTTACTCTGGAGAAAAGGAGGCTGAGGGGAGACCTTATTGCTCTCTACAACTACCTGAAGGGGGGTTGTAGTGAGGTGGGTGCTGGTCTCTTCTGTCAGGTGGCTGGAGACAGGACAAGAGGAAATGGCCTCAAGTTGAGGCAAGGGAGATTTAGGTTGGATATTAGGAAAAACTTCTTTACTGAAAGGGTTGTCAGACATTGGAATAGGCTGCCCAGGGAAGTGGTTGAGTCACCATCCCTGGAGGTATTCAAAAAGCGCGTAGACAAGGCACTTCAGGACATGGTTTAGTGGGCATGGCTGATGGTTGGACTTGATGATCTTGAAGGTCTTTTCCAACCTAAATGATTCTATGATTCTATGAAAGCAGCTTCAAGACTCTTCTTGCACTTGGGACCAAAAACACCTCTTATTTTTTTCTATTCCTCTGTCTCAGACCTGTAGAAGGAGTCATAAAGAAATTCCAAGTTTTGGGAAAAATAAGTTAATTAGAAGAAAAAGAAAAGCTGTAAACCAAACAACTGGAGGGGGCTTTGAGCAGGGATTGAACCGGGTGATCTCCAGAGGACCCCTCCAAAGTCTACTATTCTATGACTCTATTCAAAGACTTGGGAAGGTAATACTAATTTGCTAGTATGAATCAGACAAAGAGTAATACTTGCAACTAGTGTCCTTACTGGGGGACTTCAAAATTGTAGGATACTTGACCTTACTTGCACGTGAACATGCAAACTAAGCCACTGAGACTTTGCTTTACCCATGCAAATGTCTGATGATCACACAACTGCAAGTTCACACCCCTAACACATGCCAGCTATCAAAGCAGCTCTCTTGACTCTGTTGCAACGTACACAAAATAAAGCAGCACAGAAGTCAGTTGTGGTCACTCCTGCAAACCTGTGCCTGCTGAACAGGCAGTCACATACTGTTGAAATAGACATAATCTAAAATAATTTTTGCCTGTTCTGTAGCATAGGGCTTGCAATGGTTACATCTCATTTCAGTGTTTCCTTCTAGCACCATCAGCATCACAGGCAATGGCTGTTTTTGGAAGTTAATCATGCTTCCCTGACACCCGATGGTTTAACTTGAGCCCCAAAAGATTCCTTAGTGCTGTAACACCATTAGTAGCCTGCAAAGTACTACTGCATAATTACAGTGGACAAAACACAGATAAGAAAAAATAACCTTTAATAATAGGAGGAGACTCTATTCCTTTATGGGAAGCATTATACAAAACAACAACTTGCAACAGACCAGATGCAATGAAATAAAAACTAAATTTCTAGAACAATAAAAGCAAGATATTTGTCAGGAGTGAACACAAACTTCTTTTGAAAAGCAGAGATCTTCAATCTATTGACAGATGCCACAGCTTATTTATTTAAGTAGCTATATAATATGAGAAAGATGGAAGCTGGCAGCCCAGATGGCACCCTGAAACTTCAGGGCTGTATCACAAGTAGGCTGCCAGTTTAAATTCCCTACAAGTGCTGCACTTTAAAGTAATCTTATTTCAGCTGGACTGCAAGTCCAAGTGGGGCCTGCAATTAGAAGAGGCTAACCTTCTCTGATTCATCTTTCTGTTAAAGAATATACCACACATGTTCTGCATGGCACACAGGTATATTCAGATCACACTGACTGGGAAGCAAAGATACTGCAGTAAGCCAGAAACAGCATTTTGCAGCACTACCAAAATAATGCCTCACTATGGATTATTTAGGCTGCCTCTTATATAACAGAATTTATTTCAATAATGCTATATGCTTCCTTAAAAACAATGCTGGGATGTTACAACTGTACGTATAAAAAAGAAAACAGTGCGAGTGTTAAAAATAATTCCCAACAGTAGAATGCACTTTCATATTTAGAATGGTAAATGAAACAGGATCTCATAAAAGGAGTTTTCAGGCCTTATAATTTCACATCAGTTGTGAGTTACAGTTATTTAACCATTAAAACTATCCTCTCCATTTCTTTTTATAGCATAGGGATTATAGAAAGGAGAAAACTTTATTGACTGGCAAGAGCTTCCATTGAAAACAGACTTGCTACAGTCCACCAGAACTTCAGGAAAGCAGATGCAGACATATCTGTGAGTTAAGTTATTACTTAATTCTTACTACAAGCTGGTTTTGATCACCAGAAAAATCTAGTCCAGGACCTAGACAGAAAAGCAGCATGTTGCTGTTCAACAGAGGAGGCACACACAGACCAGAACTACCCACATCCAGCAGTTGCTGAAAGAAGCACCTCTCAATACGTAGTAAAACAGAGTTCCCCTCCTGAGGCAAAGAAAAGACAGCAGTCTCACCTTCTTAAACCAGAATAAAAACTGTGGAGAAAACAGCTGAAATATTTTCTCTGGTGTCTTAACTGATATCTATCTTATTTTTACACCCAGACACTCTGGAAGGTGGTAGGTGTTTTTCGGATATTGCCACTTGAAACTTCAGGTCTGTTGGCAGCCCCCAGATGAAACTGGTAAGTGAGACCTTTAATTCTCAGCTGCTGGCCCCTGGCTGTCTTTCCCTTCCTATTTTCATGCAAAGAAAGGTCAAATCAAATCAAGTATTAAAATGGTACGAAACCCCCATATGTGTTTATATATATCCGACACCGATTTACATGGCATTCAAGGTCCAAAACACCACCACCCCCCAAACCAAGAAGGGAACTAGCACTTAAAATTAACAAAAGCACTGACTCTCTAGTCATTTCCATAGAAACTAGCCTGCTAAAAACTAAGGCAAGGCATTAAAATCAGTGAGCTTTAAAATGTTCATTTTACCTTGTTTTTGCTGATCCAAATGCTGTTACCACAGAAACAGGAGAGGCAGCCAAACCAACCGCTGGGATTTGGGAATTACAAGTCTCATTTGTCGATCAGCTTGGCCAGCTGCCAGACAGGCGCTGCAGATGGAGATAACCACCATGGCAAATACTGACCTTGGGCTTGTGACACTTCAACTTTGGGGGAAAACCAGATTGAGACCCTCCTTACAGAAGAGGGTATTCTACTCTGTATTTTGCTGAAAAATCCACCCCAAAATGCTGTGGGGCTGACCTAGACCCTCCAGGAGTCACTGGATCCTCCCCATGACTCCAGTGGTCTTTAAGACACAGAGCCACATACAGACACAAGCACGAAGCACATCACCATCATCATCACCATCTTTCAAGTTGGCTGCTGGTAGTTTTCAACTGCCAACTCTGTGAAAATCTTTTATAACAATTCCTCTTTTGTCACATCCTCATCATGTGTCAGAAGGAAGCTTATGCTTTTCCATTTCCCCTTTCCCTTGCCCAGTGCTAACAGAGACAAGTGCTATTGGAAATATTTTACAGAGTCTTCCAAGAAAATGAATTGCTCCAACTGTGCTTGGCACTCTACTGGTCAGCTGCTTCTCTTGCTTTGTTCCATGAAAATGCTCTCTTATCTATGCAAGTTGATAGCTAGATTTTTCAGTGTTGGGTAAGGTAATCTCATTTATTGACCTTGACTATAGAAACACAAAGGCCTATTTGTTGAGAATAACATTCAGGTATTATATTATAACCTACTGTGTAAGAATGGCCTGATTTGTTGGTACTGTAGCATCGCCTGATGAAAGCCCTAACTGTGATGTTCAATAGTTAATGCAATCTGTCAAAAAAAGGTATCATTTATCTTTCAGTTAATCAGGACAAGAATATATTACTTTAAATAATTATGTTTATCATTAAGTAAACTGGCAAAAGAAGAGTAGGATATTTTACAGCAGTCTAAAAATAAAGATGTCTCAGGTATCTCCTCTCTCTCCAAGCATGCATTAAAGACTTATTCTCACTAGACGGAGAAGAGCAGGAGCAGCATTGCAGAGGTCAGGCTGACACTATGTAACACATTTAGATCACACATCTATGGTAGCAGGGGTGCCTGGCAGAACATCAAGGATGAAAATACACAGGTGAGGTAGACAAAAGAGAAAGTGAACATGAGGACAAGAGACTGAATGGAAAGAACAGGAAGGAAGGGAAATGATGAGACATATGAAATGACAGTGTAAGGACAGGCTACAACTGGAAAAAAAGAAAGGGTAATGAGTTAAAAATGCAGTGGACCAATAACAGTGAGAACAACAAAGAACCAATGACCACAAAAATCTTGACTTTATTTTTAAGGCTAGCAGGTGAAAAGGTGTAATGTTTTTACTCATGGCAAGAAGCAGAAGAGGCAGCACATCAGACAACCTCCCTAAGAGGCAAAAGCTATGACAGAAAGAAGGGTAGCTGGATTTTTTTTAATGAAAGACCCTGAGTAAACTGCCTCATAAAGCAGCCAGTAGGCAGATGAGAAAGTTAAATAAGCCATTTTAATTATCATTTCTTATTGCAGGCTTCCTTACAACACACTGCTCTCATTATGAAAGGGTTACAAAGTGACATTATCAAGAGTGTGGTCTCTTGGAACAATTAGTTTAACCTCCTGAACACACAGCTCCCCTAATTAGCTCAGGAAAGTACAAAGTATCTGTTTGACTCTGTAGTGTAGGCTAAGGAGAGAAAACTGCAGCAGGCAGAAAGCCTGTCAAAGAAGGAAACTGTGACAATGAAATTTCAAACCTAGCTAGTGAAGCATTTAAAAAATAGGGGCTGCTCCAGTAAAGTCTTTGGCTTTTAAACAGAAGGGACAGAAAAATAAAGCACAGCCCAGATGTTTTTTTCTGAAAGGCAGTGCAGTGTACTTTCTGATCAGCTTAATTTTTATGAGTTAACACCTGCAGCAGCATTCAAATGCCAACTAATCCCACTCACTGCAGAGCTCCAGCACCCATCAAAGCCTAACGCTGAATGTGCCCAAGTATGGAATAAACAAATCCCCAGCACAGAGAGCATGTGATCTGGTGTGATACAGAACCAGACAGTAACGAGACAGCCTTTGGAGGGGTCTACAGCAGGACACAGCATGATACGCAGGGAACAGGAATAAACACACCTTGCTCACCCCACACGGACAAAGTTGCTCCAAGTGGGAACAGCACTGCTCAGGAGTTAGAGCTGAATGCATGCCCTAGGCAAGGTTGTTCCATGTGCTATAGAATTACTATTTAAAAAATAATAATATAAAACATCTTACACAAACATATTCTGATGGATTGTTATCAATTACAATGTAGGAAGGACAGGACCTTGTTTAGCAAGTCTGGGTCTTGTTCAGTTGGACTGTCCTTCTCCCACTCGCTCATGACTCAGTGGTTGCCAATTATTGCACATACCTGTCTGACAAGAGCCAGCTGCAGTGACAGGTAGAGGATGATTTGGTGATCTTCTGGGGCCAAGTCACGTGCTCTTTAAGGATAACCACACAATACAAAAAGAAAAGTGACTGTTAGATTGTACTTTGCAGAACTCCTTCGCTGTGAGTTGCACACAAGCACAGAACAAAACCCAGTCCTCTCCTACAGAAAACTAGTAACTAGTCCAGTAACGGGAGTACACCAAAACTAGACAAGAAGCAGATCACTGCTGGCCTGGCTAAGCCAGGCTCACAGGAAACAAGTATGAGAAACCCAACTGCCAGGATGTTATACAACTTACATGCTCCTTCATTAAATGTCACTTAGTGTTTTGGAACTTGGGTAACGAATATGGAGAAAATAGTTCTTAACTCATGACAAACCCATTAAAGCATTATTTTAAGTAATTTAGGTGAGGGAGATAGTTGTCCAACTTGTTCCTATATTGCTGCATTTTGAACAATAGGAGAGGGTTAGGTTAGCACTGAAAAAGTAATTGTTTTGCTGTAATTGTGATTTTGAGCATGTAGAGAGCTACAGATCAGGAGACTGTGACGTAAGCTGGTGCTCAAACACACAAAACATCCTCCACCCTGCAGCTTCTAGGCTAATCGTTGACAGTAGGCTCCTAATTTGGAAAGGGAAGACATTGAGGGAGGAATGAGGATTTGGTGGCAAGAGCTGAACCTGGACCAAAACCAAGGCCCTCACTCCTCAGGCTTGGACCTCTTAAATATTACCTTCTAGTCCACAGCAGGCAACAGCGTGCACTGCAGTGATCCCTTGGCTAGTGAAGACTGCAGTGTCTCCAGAACCAGATGTGGAGGCCCTTCACACAGGCTTGTGCAAGGCAGGGAACAGGGATGGACAACGAGGGCACAACTGTCCTCTCAGACTATGCTAAGCATTAAACTGCAGTCTGAGCTTGCTAGCCTGTGGAGAAGCCATTAACCAAGGCAACGTGAAGATAGTGTTTTGGGGACCTAACCTAGGAGCAACGTCGGGCACCGGCTCATGCCATACTGGCAGCCCAGCCCAGGGACCAGTGGATTATCCCCTTGCTGATCCTCAGCGCTCACTCCTAGCTCTGCGGCACAGGTAAGTCATTTCACATGGGAGAGATGGGGAAAGGGAAGGTCCCTCGTAGCCAACCGATGTTCCTGACCTCTTTCTGGTCTGCATTCCAGGACAGCAGGGAAGCCTGCACCTGCATCGTCCTGCCCAAAGTGAGCATGATTAACATCCTTATGAGGGAGAAACAGGCTGACAAGGCTGGTGGTTAAAAACCCTGCCAAAACTATTCATTTGCTAATAATAAAGAAGCAAGCAAACAAAAATCAAATAATTACTTTAGGAAACAAACCACACACCATTTTAATGGCAGCCACCTCTTAAATGCCATCTTGGCCCTTGAGCAAGAAGCTGTTGGAGTTGACTTTTATAACTAATGGCTCTAGAACTAATTAATTTAATATGGACTGAATGTGTCCTGTAACTGCAAATCAAGGTAGCACTCAAGGATTCTGAAGCAACGCCAAAGACATCATGGTGCCATTACTACAAGCAAGTCACTAATTTCTCCCCCCACTTAAAAAAACCCCCAAAACCAAAAAACCCAAAACAAAAACCAAACCCCCCCCCCCCCCCCCGCCAAACAACAACAACAAGACTCCACAAGACAGAACCCAGCTTTGCCCTAAGCTGCTGGAGCAGGGTGAGCTGCCTCTTCAGCAAGCCTCCTGTGAAACCTCCAGTAGCCTCTCCAACAATAAACAACAGGGGAAAGTTCACATGGATGTACGGGAGAAGATATTAATGGTGGTTTTGGAAAGAAACAAAGGGTTGTTAGTTTACTGCTCGGTTTCCTCAAAAGGTATTAGAAAAATATTTGATCCAATCTTCCAGCTGAAAAGGCCACTTACAAAGATGGCTACAGGCCAAACCATGGCTGAGAGATCATATATGTACTTTAAAAACAGGTGAAAAACAAGGAAGAGAAAAAAAAGAAACCAAACTCGGGCATTTAGGAAGATACTAGTTAACCAGCTCACTACCACAACATCCCTGTTGGCTTAAGTTTGAGTACCTAATGTTTGGCTAGAAGCTTGTCTGCTTCCTAGCTAGAGTTAAGATACCATGAAAACAAGCCACAGCCAGTGGGAAAGGTCAAAGGATAAAAATAAATGCAGTTTAAAAGCACTGCAACTACAGCAAAATTAGGCAGAAGTGAAAGTATTACATTGGGTCCAGGAACTAGCGTGACTTAAAGTATATTCCTGATCTAAAAAGTGACTGAATAAATGGCTTTTTAAAATTTTATCTTTCAGATCTTCATAGGGTAAACATCCAGAATTACATCTGTGGTTTCAGCTTACTACATGCTCTTGCAACCACTGCAAAACCAGTGCAAGACAAACATACTGGACTCCTTGCTCAGCGTCAGAAAAACAGCTAAGATCCAGTAACATGTTCAACTGCTATACCTGTACTTTGAGATACCAGAGATCTCAAATTTTCTTCACTTTTGTAATGTATTTATGACCACACCAAACCCAGAATTTGATACTTCAGCCCAAGACTTAGAACATATAAGCTTCCATTTAGTAGCCATCTAAAGTCTGTAGGCACCTACATTTACAATGTTAACTGCCCAAGCACCACCTAGTGTATTTTGGGTGGTGTAACTTGGTTGTGACAGGGTCAGGAAGCTCACACCTCACATCTCTACCACAACAGAACTGACAAAAAAAGGTTTTTAACCCAAGCAGTTTTACTTGAGGTAACTGTAGCTGGAGAGGAGTTCAATTCACAGATACTTTCAGGGCAGAGCCATTGGATCAGACTCTCGCACAAAATACAGTGGTGAAGAACAGGCGAGTGGTGACTGCTTTGTACCACTAGCTCCATAGCACCCTTTTCACACAACAGGTCCTGTAAACACTCACTAGGACAGTAATCATCCTCTCCCTGGTAAGTGCACTGATGGCAGGTCACCCCATAGCAGCCTAAACCCTGGTGGTAAAGGTACTTTCCCACCATGAGGGAAATAGGAGTTTAAGCCTGCTTCACACAGGAAGGGAGACAAAACTAGCTTTCCACATTTGCCTGCTGGCATCATATGAGGAAGCTGCATCTCCCAGCGCTGTAGATCTCACTGCAGCTAATTTGGGGCTAAGGTTCTTGCTGTTTAGTGGCAGAACAGGTACTCTTCCCTTGGATATTCAACCAAATAATCACTGCATTTAGCCATCACAGGGATGGTTTTGACAGACTATTGCTGAAATCTACTGAACCGTTTTTTAAATTTTCAGGCAAGGAAGCCTTACGCAGAAGAAAAACAACATTAAAACCAGCAATTATTCTGAATTCATCCAAAGAAATACACAATGCAAGTATCTGCAAGATTCCTACTCACCTCTCCAAAGTCTGAAGTGCTTTCTTGTTTAATTCATCCTGAGTGCCCTTCAGAGTAGCTGTAGGACAAGATACAATGCCATTTAAGAGTTGAATTCAATGTTTCAGATTAAATAAATACATAGCTACACATGCACAGAGTATTTCAAACTGGGAACATAAAAACTGGAAATCTGGTGGGGTGTGTGTTCATGGCTGGAAAGCATGCCATTTTGTTTTTAAAGAACAGCACAAAACCAGTATTTTAACCCAAATTCTCAATTTCATTTTTATTAAACACTCTTCCAACTCCTTTGTCTGAAATGCCGAAACATTTCTTATTTACATATGCCACTGAAGTGGTCTGGGAGAAGAAGGGGACATACGCTAACTATATACTAAGAGCATAACAGGCCCTCTGCCAGGTTGATGTATATGCTAAAACAAGTAACTAGCAGCATGTTCTGACTCGGATACAGGCCGTCTCCACCACCATCTTCACGTAGGAGGGTGTTGCAGGTTGAACAGGGAACACCAGGAGCTAAATTTACAGCTCTATGACAAAACCCCTGACAACACACCACCTCCCTTGAGACCACAACAGACTTTTAGGCTACTTCAGGTATGGCATTAGCCACTAAAGCCCTCCTTGGTGCCTCTAATTGCTTGACTAACGGATCCTGCCCACTACGCTCACTTCTCAACGTGTGTATTAATTCCTAGTCAAAACCATAAAAGGAGAAGAAGAATCAAGTCCTTGTTATGGCAGGGTATCATAAGGTATCATCATCATCATCATCAAGAGCAAGGGGAATGGAGGAAGAGCTTAGAGAAGCATGGCTTTCTCAGATCCAAAATATCTGGAAAGCTAGTGATAATTTTCAGAAGTACATTGGCTATCTTGTTCTGGTTCTTAGTTTTCAGATTTTGCATAGCAGTTGTTTCTTCTTCTGCCTATCCTGAATTTGAGAGCTACTGATCAAGAGCACAAAGAAGTCATGAATAGTTAATCCATCAGCAAACATCCACCTATGAATTTATTTGACTTCATACATCAAGTCAGTGTAAGCTCCAGAATAGAAAGCTAGTAAGTAGTATATACTTAAGCAACAAAACCAGATAAAATTCAAGTATTCTTAAAAGTTATTACAAGTAAAGAGTTGTGTTCTACTACAAAGGTAACAAGGTACAAAGGTAATCAGTTTCTTTGATTCTGCAGCACACTAGCAGGTGAAACTTTTTGAAGTCATTCATTTTGCCGAAGTATTTAGAGTGATCAGACCTTTTTTATTCCTACATCTTCCAACAGTTCTTCAAAACACAAGGTTCATTTGGGAGGAACGCCATCTTCAAGATTTCCCAAATCATAAAGATCAAAAATTGCTTACACCACAAAATCTACTCTAAGTAGTAAAAACTGAACAAAAAATTTGCAGTTTAAAAAATAAATTTGAAGACATGGACTTTCATGCAAAATGCAACATTTATGAGGAGTAGCTGGAAATACTTCACTCTCAATAGCATTAAATTGAGTATCCAGGTCTACTGCCAAATACTGGAAAAAAGTAACAGAGAAGGAAAATTCAGAAAAGAATTAAAAGAATCAAGACTGATGTAAACACAAAAATGCTTGAGGAGACATTGGAAAGGATTTGATCATAGCTATAAACATTCATCCAGAAAAATACATCAGATTCTGTTTCTCATGGAAACTACAAGGTTCCTTACGTAAGTTACAGAGCAGTTCTGGAGATGCCACAATGAGGACGACTAGAAGAAATTTTACTATTTGCCCCCCAAAATAAACATCAAATGCAAAAGGTAGAACTTTTAGGTTCCACCTGGTAACACATTTGACTGATGTTCAGCCTGTAGTCAGAATGGAGAGAGGTTTTTTTACCAGGGCCTGTAGTGATAGGACAAGGGGTAATGGTTTTGAACTAAAAGAGGGAAGATTTAGATTAGATATAACAAAGAAATTCTTTACTATGAGGGTGGCAAGACACTGGAACAGGTTGCCCAGAGATGTACATTCCCTACTCCTGGAACTGTTCAAAGAGGTCATCGTCACTGCAACCCACTTGTATCACTGAAAAACTCTCATTTCAGACAAAGAAAAGCTTGCACCAAGGAGAAAGAATTAGGTGGGAACTTCTACTAAGTCTAAAGTTAGTCTTCTACTAAGACTAAACTTTTAGAAAAGTTGTGCTCCATTCTCTGAGGTTGACAGCACTTCAGCCTCTACCCAACTTTACCTACTGTGAGCATGGCTGCTGCAGTTCTACCAACTAAAACACAGTATCGACTTATTACTTAGATTATTATTACTTAGATTAAAATAACCTGAAAAGCAGTCTGACCACAGTAAGGCAGAGAGCGCAGGGGAGTTCAGGTTTCTGAAACTTCAGCAGTTATTCCTATAAGACACAGTACTTTTGCAAATGCCACCTTAGGAGCCCAAGATTTATTTTCTAAAGCACTCTGGGTTTTTAAAGGAGCTTAAACCTTACCAAAAGTCAACAGGATCTTCAGCAACATTTTGGTAGCTAAACACAAAGCTCTAAAGTCACATTTGAAAACAGAGGAGGGCAAGTTCTGTGTTAGTTAGCAAGCAGGTGCAGCACAGTAGGTGTGAATGCATGGAGTGAAACACTTAATGCTGAGTATCAGCATCAACACTACAAACATGGGGACGGGGGTCTAGTTCTAGTCTTGCCCCATGAACTGAACACCCATTAGCAGCTGCAGCATAATTGGGCGTATTTATGTAGCACATTAGTTTTATGGAAAAGAACTCAGTTTTGTTGTGCAAAACTGTTCCATTATGTGAATCACAATGTAAGAAGTCAGGATGATGGAGAGAGAGACTTCAGAGATACATTTCTGATCCAAACTAGAACACCAATGTGCGTGCACCCTTTTGCACATATCAATGGGTGTCAAAAAACATTCCCTGGTGTTAAGACACTTAATACAGCAGGGTGTACAGTTTTAGCACCCAGAATTATAATTAAAGATTGCATGTGTTGACTGTTATCTCCAGAAGCAAAAATGATGTGTTTGTTCACTAATAAGCAATGTCTAAACTTTTTTTTTTTTTAAACATTAACTGGTGCTGTCAGTATACTCATTATTTATAAAATCCACACAGACTCGCAGAAAAAGTTTCCAATTCAGTCCCTGATCCGTAGCCTTATACCAAAATTCTAAATGAAAACAGAGATACAGCATACACTCTCATCTCTGAAAGAGTGAGAGTCTGTTAAATCTACCAAGATTTCACAAGATGTGAGGTGGTGATGTTAGGTAAGAAGAGCACTTATATTTGACAAAGCATTCTCAACCTGGTCTTTCCTCTTTAGCCTTTGTTAAATTCATCTCACCTTCCCCTGTCTTCAATGGATTCTTCACCAGACCTAAGGGAGGCAAAGTTGACAATACAGCTTATGTCAAAATTGGAACTACAAGAGGAAGAGAAAGGTTTGCAGTTGACATTGACCCATTGGGAACACATCTGCAGAAAATTTAGCATAGCAATAGATGGACATTCTGTACAAACAAGAGATTTGTGCTTCTAAGAGTGACGCAGAAGTGGCAATGACTTCCTCTGAGGACACATCTTTCAGCTACTTCAACGAGACTTAGTTCAAGAAGCATGTAATTAGACATTATGAACAAGAAAGCTACACATACTGCTACCCAACATAAGTTTCAGGAAGGCTTATTTCATCCAGGAGTAAATCTAATAGCTGTAAAGTGACTTTTTATCAAATGCTCCCAAAAGTTCTTTGAATTGTCATTCAGTAGGATTCTTCTGACTCTGCTTTTTAGAAAGTGCTTTCTGCAAGTCACAAAGAAAAGGCTTTAATACAACTCCTCAATGCCTTTGTCACACAGCAGGAGAAATATTTACTAAAAGGATATATTAAATAAGAAAGCCTAACCTTGGATGGAAGGCATCTTGATATAATGCTGTAAGCTTTATAGGGCAAATGGCCAAATGTCTCTGAAACACTTAGCTACCATTGAAAATGCTGACTCACTGAAAGTCAGCTCAGGTGGAAAGTTATGGAAACCATATATATATGCAGATGTTTGTGTGTCTGCATGTCACTATGAACTGGTATAAACACAACGATAAACAAGATTGACAGTATGAGGCAGGATTACACAGGGGAGTTGCTATTTTCCTTTCAGCATGTTCTACTCTTGCTTCCTCACTGTGATAAGCTATTTTTTAACAATGCTAATGAAAAATGTCTCATTAGTGCAAATTTGACATTTTCTAGTAAAATGCTGTTGCATATTCATGATCATCATAAGTATGCTTTTGAAGGACTTAATTTATTTTATTAAATTATAACCTAAAAGAGGGAAATAGACTCTTCAGATTTCCCTCAAATAACTGAGTGACTAGCCCTATTGACTTAAAGGCTAGAGATAGGAGAAGGCAGATATTCCACTGTTTCACAACATAAATCAGATGCTAATCTGGAAAAAAAATCCAAGGCAGTTGTTGTGAAGACTGTTTCTTTTACGTTAAAAAGGACACATTACAACATCTGAACTAATCTCTTGAAAACTCAGAGAAAACTTCTCTTCCAGAAGAAAAAAGTTTCCAACTTGCATTTTGCTGCACCAAAGTATTTTTAGAGCCAAAGTACAGCACATGCCTCTACAACTCCACTCTTTAGAAACCACCTTCTTTCCATACTGAAGATAACAAATAGATAGTAATGGGCTAACATAGAAAACCTTTTATCTCTGAAAATAGTCTCTGGGATCTGCTAAAGCTTTATGGACAGATCAAACAAAATCTAGGCAAAATGTGCTAAACAGCTATGCTGTTAAGCAGAACTCAATGTTTAATGAACTTAAAAAAAATACATATATGAGAAAGTTCAGGCTAGGAAGGGTATATGTTTCTTGACATGAACTTTCTAGGGGAACTATTCTGAGGCAGAGAAATGTAGAACTGAAGAGAGCTACAGTGCCTGTTAGCCTCCACGTTGGAAAGCAGTTCTCAGAACAGCTGATCAGATATGGCTGGCTGAAAAAATACACTGACTTACACTACTGAGGAGCACAAGCCACTTCCTCATACACATGCCTTACAGAATTCTGCTGTAACTTGCAAGGCCAGCGTACTTCCATGATACCATACAGTAATTTCAGCTTTGTTTCAGAGTCATTTGCTGGAAAAAGTTCGTTCATTTTTATGGGACTCATATGACAGAAAAGCCATTGCTTGCATGTGGGCAGGACTGCCAAGTTGATTAGGAAACACACTAGCTCAGCCATTTTTCAAAGAAGCTATGTTAGAAGGCTTTCTGCCTATGTTAGAAGTTATAGAAGAAACAAAGACTGTTCCCACCTGTGAGCTTGATAAAAGTCAGAGCTAGAACTATCCTAGACACTGAGATTTCAAGCCCTTCTGGCTACCAAGCACCAAATCTGCAAGACCCCATTGTCCAGTCAGTCAAAACCCAAGCAAGCAGCATTAAAATAAAATACTTATTACATTCATCTACATACCAGTGAGGTAAATATTTTTATCTTGTTTACTTCTAAGCAGAGAAAGAAACAACATCACAGAGAGGTTGAATCTCTGTGGGGAATCAGCATCACGCCAGGAACTGAAGTCAGGCATTTCTGACTCCAGCTCTTGGATTGTATTTCTTTACATGATTTATGAGTGGGTGACAAAAATATGAAAATGGATGGAAAGTTTGACTTTTTGTTGTGTAAATAAGTGAAAGAAATGTATTACAAATATTCAAATAAAGCACAGGAAGCATTGTCAGCTACAGTCAGATTATCAACTCCTAAGTAATGATTTGCATTTCTTCTTTTACCTAAAAACTTCACTTTTATTACCACAGAAGACAGCTCTCTGACCAAGTGAACAGTTCCCATTTGTCTTGCAATCTGATTGTTTTTCATGTCCAGTCAGCACTAAAAGGAGAGTTTCTAATAAATTTCCATTGCTTGCACTGAAGACTTTGAACAGATGCTCTCCATTCAACATACTTGACAACAGGATAACTCACCATCAGTAGCTTGAAGACTGTATGTCAGGCCCAGTGCCAGGTAACCCTTTGCTAGGGACTCGCCAGCATCCTCACCCAGGTCTATCACCATTTTAGCAAAGTATTCTCCTTCTTCCAGCTGCAAAAGAGGTAGGTTGAGACTTACAGGCATTTCCCTTATACTTGCTTCAGTATGATTATCCCATTAAACTTACCTGTAAGTGATCAGAGAGTCATTCATACAAGGGCTTTCAGTGATCACAGTAAACACTCATAGAAAGGAAGACGTAGGTCAGATTAGCAGACCTTGGTGCACATGCACAGTTTTGAGAAAAGTTTTTTGTTTTAAGCATCCACCCCAAACTATTTCCAGATGTTTAAGGTTAGTGAAGGGCACCATCTTATTTTTATATTTCCCTTCAGGCACGCTTCAATCATGCAACCTTAAATACAAACGTTGGACCAACTGACTACTTACATACTATCCTAGCAGTACATTGAAAGGTCTACCAAGTTTCTTCCTTCAAAGGAAGACCATCTAGGTTTTGCTTACGATGTTTTTAAACCTTAGCAAATTTTACTTCCTTTTAAAACACTACAAGAGTAAACCAAGAAAGCACTTCACTGCAAGCTGAGTTCAGCTGTTGCTTGCAGTTCTGCTGCCACAAGGAGGAGGCAGCAAATTTCGGATCAAAATTTGTGTCCTAAATACCACACTACCTTAGCAGCTCATGCTGCACTAGCCACATTTTGCATATTTTGCAAAAACAATTTGAAAATGCATTTTATATTACAGATTGTAATGGAAAAAGAAAGCAGTCACAACCTCTCAGGATCAGCCTCCAAAATGGTGAAATATGTAAGTTGCTCTCTTCTACTACAGTATAGACTGCTCCGTGCAACCCTCCTTTCCAGCTGACCATGCAGAACTAAGTTTAATGAAAATATAAAGCTTTAGTATCTTTAAAATTTGAGTTAATGGTAATTTTAAACAAAAAATAGTTTGAATATTTTGTTACAGAATAGACAGTCCCTCATTTCTAACCTTAAACTCTCATTAACATCACACACCCCTTATAAGTAGAAAAGACTAAGACCTGTAGACTGTACATATCTGGAAAGGTGTAGGTTGGAGAGGTACAGGCAAAAGCTGTAAGTAATGCTTCAAAGACACAAGAGTCTACAGGAAGGCCTCATTTCTGTACAACATAGCCTGCAGATCCTGTCAACCATCATCAGTCATCCCTAATCAAGAACCAGACACCAGTACGCTATCCAAAAAAGCCTCCTTTTGGAAACTTCTATTACATGATAACTGACTTTCTGGGATGTTTTTTTTAATTTTGAAGAAATACATTTTTCTTTGAAATCCAACTGTTTTAAATGCAAGAACTGCAGACATAACTGAAACATGTTCTCTTAATACTCAGCTTTGTCAGACTTCAGCACCTCATAGCTCCTTAATATCTAAAAGGAGTCACCTGAAATGAACTGGAATCAAAACGTACCAGCAGACCAGAAACTTCCCTTCTGCAGTGATCTGTTAATACGCCACCTATGAACAGAATCTCCTTGACTTGATACACTATCCTGTCAATGGGCCTCCTAGTTACATCACTTGAAGACATTCAGGTGACAACATTAACTGACAGCTTCATAAACAAAGGAACTGATATTTATTAGATGATATCAAACATAAGAAAAAATTTACTGTTAATGTAAGCATGAAGAAAGGTTGTAAAGTGCAAGCGAAGAAGCAATCTCCACTGCTTGGGTCTTTTCCTCAACTTGTACAGCTCCCTGAGGCCATACAATTCAAACTAGATGTAGACCAGTAGTTCCCAAATTTCTGAAACCTCAGATCAGTCAGCCCAATGACCAATGTATATTTTATCATCAAACTCTTTCCTGAAAGCACTAGGAAAGCATTACAGTCTTGCTGATTGCTCAGTCAACAATGAATCTGGAAACTAACTGAAACAGGAATACCCCCTTGGGGCATACTTGGGGCTACCAACTGAATTGCAAGGACTGTCTTTAACAGCATAATCCAAAGTCTACTGAAAATACTGGAAATAGTTCTACTGACTTCAGTGATGCTCAGATGAGACTCTTTAAACTCTGATCACATCAGGAAGACTGAGATTTGTTCCAGGAAATTTCTTAATTGTATCAGTAGCCCTACTGACTTCCCTGCCACACGCTGAAGCATTCTGGACCAGAGCCTAGGACAATGGAAGAAGAAAGTGTCCCATGACTTGCCACACAGAAAAAAACCCCACCAACAAAAAAACCCTTCCCATGAAACAATAACTGAATTCTTCAGCTCTCAGGAACTTTTATGTAAGACATGAAATCTCTGCAGCCAGAAAATTAATTACACACCTCTTTTGCCACCATAACAGATATATTCCCACTCTTTCTTCATTGTTTCTCCTCTTCTCCCCACACACACTTTCATCCACAAAGTCTCCATTAGAAGAAGAAGAGATCTATACAAGGAATTCTAATGACTAGCAAACAAGGGTAGGGGTGCGTAGAGTGTATGAAAAAAGAGATTAAATGAAAGGTTTGGAGTTGAAATGAGACATTTAAAATTGGAGAGATTTTGCTTCATTGTTTCTCGGAATGGTCACCTGATGGTGTTTCCAGTCTCTGACTGATGGTCTACACGGCATAAATCAGCAGCACACCATTCAGCTTTCTTGCCTGCCAGTTATCCCAGGCCACTTGTGAGTGTCAGATTAATCTATTGTATGAATAATTAAAACCACAACTTTTCAGAATGGCTGAAAGAGCACTTCTAACACAAATGTTCTTGTAAACATATCTTAATACTAAACACTAATGACACTTTGACCAGACACAAAGATACTCATGAATGCAAACTTTGTCAGCTGAAGGCTGCTTTGAAAATAAGTGGCCTTGCAAACTCCTGCACAGCTGGTTCTCTTTATGAAAGGACTTATTTTTTCCTTCTTACAGCACTCAGCCACTTCCCCTGCCAGCCCTGCTGTGGCTGCCATCTGCCCCCTCTTCTCCCATTCTCCTACTCTTCAATCATTCTGGGCAAGTGTGAAAAGCCAAACCTTTCGCTCACATCACCCACTGTGAGGTTTCAACTCTCCAGTGCATCAGTCTTGCTGATTGCCTAGTCAACTATGAATCTGGAAACTACTAACTAAACCAGGAATACCTGCCTTGGGGCATACTTGGGGCTACCAACTAAAGTGCAGGGACTACCAGATTGCAGTCTGGATGAAAAATCCCCCTCCATACACCTGAATGAGGGATTAGTAGTGAGCCTGCGCTGTGATCTGCCAGTAAAGCTGTGTCTGTGGGGGTCCTTAAGTATACAAGGTGTCTCCACTCTGTGCTGTAGCAATGGGAAAGGAAGGCGGCCTCCAAATGAGACATCAACCCCTCTGGAGTCTCACCAGATATAACCATTCCCAGCTGCAGCTCCTGCATGCTGCCACATGACCTGAAGCAGCATGAGCTGCTCCTAGTTTCTCCTCTCCCTATGTGGTGCTGGGTATGTGAAGTATCACCCTGTGGGACTCCCAGAAGTTGTGAGCTCGAGGTACACAGAAGTGATCTAAGTGGCAGAAAGCTTATGAGGAGAATCAAGATGTCCATTCCTACTCCAACTGCACAGCCAGGGGCCAGCCTCAATATGAAGGACGCCTAAATGGTTCATTCACTTCAGAGGAGGACTCCAATCTTAACATGACACAACACTGCATTAGAAGGGCAAGGAACATGGATCAAAACTTCTTGTTGCAACTTATAGGACTTTGCTAGTAAGCTCTAAGCCACAGGATGCCACATGTCCTCCCACAGCGGGCATGGCACAGCATCACTTTGTGATTAGGAGATGCACAGCATACTACTGATAGATGGTTGCTAGCAGTGCCAACAGCAGCTCCCAGCACCGTGGAAAAGATATTTCTTTGGGCATCAAGAGTGCCGGTAACAGCTTGAATTCAGTTTCCTTATAATCACTACTTGTTATTCTCTCAGAAGCAAGCAAAAACCAAAGTCTCAAAGCCACACAGATATACCTCCGATTTGGCCCTTACTATTCTTACATTCTTCTGCATACTTTGTACTGAATAGATGGTGGAGAGAAGGGCAGTACCCCAGGTTGCAGGAATAGGTTCCCTGCCTCCAAGACCTGCATGGAAGAAAGCTCAGAAAGCAGGTGTGGGGGAAAAACAACCTAAAAGGAACTTTTTGTATTTTGAGCTCAAGCTGTATAAACTGTCAGTAGGCACCTGGAAGCACTAGCTAAGCAACCTCTCCACCACAGCATAAGCAAGCACACACCTGGCACCTGGAGAGAGACAGGGTGCCAAACTGTGAGCTGACACCGATAAGATTGTAATACTGTGGGGCTGTTTCCCCCCACCACTTTCCACCCCCTCCATCATCTTTGATGGAAAAGGAACAGTTGTTAGCTGCATAACCCTGAGGCATGTTTTCCCTGAAACAGAGTGGCTGTTGCAGCCACCATTGTTATTTGACCGCAGGTTTTGGTTTGTGCTCAAGCCAAGCCCGGGGGCATACTGACAAGAGCGTGGGGAACAGCAGGTGCTGTCCCCTGGCCTATCGCCACCCAGCTTGTTTTTAGAAAAGCTCAAGCCCTACCCCACTGAATCAACACCCTCTAGAACTGTAAGTGGGAGCTGCAATTCTCACCAGCATGGATTTAGAACAATTGAGGACAAGCAAATTGATGATGTACAGCAGCATGGAAATGACACCTTACTGCTCTGAAAAAGAGGAGTGCACAAGGGAGGAGGCAGGAAACACATCAAATGACACTGAACTTAGGACAGCAGACAAGGTTAGTGAAGCAGGGAAGTCTGGACACCAGTGAGACTGAGTGATACCCAAGCACATGAGAGACCCAAATCCTACAGAAAGGGTATCTATGCAAAATTACAGATGATATTAACTAGTTGGATTGACCTCTTATAATTTTCATTATACTGGGTTGTAGGTATAGAGACTAATTCAAAGACGAGAAAAAATTAAATATTGGGAAAAGAGAATGAGAAGAAGAAAAATGCATAGGAAGGAAGTGGCCAATAATGCACAGTATAATGGAAAGGTTTTATCCCATAGCTGTTTACA